CTCTCCCCCGTACAAATTCTCCCCCGGGGTGTGGGGGGGGGGGGGGGGGGGGGGGGGGGGGGGGGGGTGTGGAAGGGGGTTGAGGGGGTTATTTTGGGGGCGAATATATTTCGTGACACCGGAACTACTGATGTAACTGATTTCAGAGATCTTATTAATCCTCGCAAACATTCGGTTTTAACACTAACTACGTAAAAACTGTCAACATATCCACGCCGTTATACTCTGATTAAAGATCTAAAATATATTCCTTAATACAGGCTACGATTTGAAAATGGTATCAATGTAATACCAGGGGCTAGAATATCATGGTGCAACCAGGATTCTGTTAAACATACAACATCATAACTATCTAATTCAGCACTGATTAAATCTACTTTAAAATCTACTAAGACTGCGTACGTTTACATGTATAATCTTTATAAGCAAAGTAACCCAAAATATAGATAAATGTGTATCATCTTCCCGAAATGATTAGCATGTAGAATAGATTCAAAAACACCTGTATTGAACAACATCAACCGGCATCGTCAAAGCAAAGTGTACATGTAATTGTTACAATGGGGCTGGCGGTGATTATTAATGAAGAACATCTTGTTAAAAAGACACACTGAAACTGATTTGCATAACTGATGACCACAACATATTGAAAAATATCAAAATAGTAAAAATGATACAGTTTAACCTCACACTGAAGAGAAAACAAGAACGACACAGAGAAGTAAAATAACGTCATATAGAACTGAGATAAAGTAATCTTTAAAAAAAATATATTATTATGAAAAACGAAAGGAAAGGTGGGACCCCCCCCCCCCCCCCCCCCCCCCCTTCCACACCCTCCAAATAAAAAAAATAATACTAAAATTCAACAAATAACCATCCCCCACCCCCCACCCCCCACCCCACACCCCACACAAGTAACTAAATGTATAACTCAGAAAAAATAAAGGAGAAAAAAAATGAATAAAAAAACACATAAACAAATTAACATTAAAACTATTGGCAACTGCATGGCAAGTATTTATAAAACGACCGGGGCAGGAAATATTCTGGGGGGAGATTTTATTTCGTAGGGTGGGGGAGAGTTTATTTCGAGAGGGGCGGAACTGTACCGGTATAAATTCGCCGGGGGGGGGGGGGGGGGGGGGGGGGGGGAGATTTTATTCTGGGGGCGAATATATTTCGTGACACCGGAAACCCGGGTTCGATTCCCGACATGGGTACAATGTGTGAAGCCCATCTCTGGTGTTCCTTGCCGTGATATTGCTGGAATGTTGCTAAAAGCGGCGTAAAACCATACTCACTCACTCGCTATTCATGTACAACGCGTCTGTTAAAATAATATGTATGTCCGTTTATATACAGGATTTCTCTTTTACGATTCGTTGTCGGAAGTGACAAGATCAAAGTGGGAGCTTGCGGTAAGTACAGTTTTTTGGTTCCCTAAAGTACAAGTAGATGTCTTCAAAAAGCACTATGTACTATGGGGAACAGCGTTGAGCGGGCTGTTTTTCTTTCAAACTCTTTCTCTTTCATGTTTTATTTCCTGAATGATGAGAATACTTCTCCTGCCCTTTGATTTCATAGAAGTTAGATCAACAGTTACACATGTTGAATGCAGTCTAGCATTGTCGTGTTGAAGGATAACTTGATGGAAACAACATGCGGCTGAGGGGTTTCATCACAATAGCGTTGGGTCGTTCAGTTGCCTGGCACTGGGTATATTCTAAAAGTGTGAGAGAAATTTGCCTACATTATTTTGCTGCCAAAGCCAAATCTGTCGATTTGCCGATGTCGGTGCACCCTAGCTTACCCATATTCTCAGTGCGGCATAAATCGCTTACCCAAATGTCGCTGAACAATGTTCCATCGTTGTTTGGGGCATATACTGTATGTATTCATACACCTGAAATGTTTTTCAATCTCGTCATTTTTTTCCGTTTTGATATATACAACTGTTTTTGGTATAACTATTGTAGATAAAACATGTTTTACGTTGTCGAATTTATTTATAAGCATTGACTGTGTATTTCTTTCCGGTGTGTTGAGGTATGAATCGAAAAACCGATGTGGAAACTTTTGTAAGAAACCGCTACATCGGTTTTTCGATTCATACCTCAATGAACCGAAAAAATTACACAGTCAATCCTTAATTGCAAACTTATGAGTGGACCTTGTTCAAAATGTTTGTACTTGTAAACTGTTTTAGTTTTTAACTTCTACTCAACATGTGTTGATGTGTTACATAACTTCGTTACAGTGATACAAGTTACAATAAGCAAGATGTTGCACAGTTGTGCATTATTCGCTACAGTGGAATTCTTGTGTACACGATGCCTGCATTCAGTCAGTAAGAAAAGATATGTAAAATCATCTGCGTGCGCGAGCTGAAAAGCTACATTAGGTTCTTACGCATATTGGATTATATAATTTGTGTACGCAAGCAACTCAAAAGGTTTATGGTGATTTACAAATGCAGTTTGCGTATTTTACGCAGCTTATCTGGAGATCGTGAGAAGTATGAATACATTAACATCTTGTACAGATCCCCCCATTCCCCCTTCCCCTCCCATACCCCATTGATTATAGTAGAATATATCACACGAGTACCTCGCATATACAAATATACATGAGCACCTCGCGTATACAAATATACATGCACGTGCACATGCTCGCAAACGCGTCTTAATAAAGCACTATGGTAGCCTTGACACATTCCATAAAATCACGTTCTTATCAAATATCATAAAGACAGGTTGATCAGTTTGCATACATATTTAACAATGTTGGGGAAAGTGAAGGATTTAGGTGTGTGCCATTTCACCAATGAAGAGAACAATCTGCAAAATAACGGGACGGTTAAATGTGAGCCATTATTCATGGGAACAATCGACTCGAATATCTAGACGATTGTTGATGCGGCGTTAAACAACAATCACTGAATCACTCAAAAGAAATAGATATGTTTAATTTTGAATCATCCTAAACAATACAAATATAAACCATGTCATAATTACTTATAAGCACCGCGCCAGGAAAAGTACCAGACGCCTCAATCGCTTACCCGTCAATATCATTGCAAGGAGAGAAAGGACTCCCGGTAACAGTGATGAGTACTAATTAAACATTCAAATAATGTTATACGCCACTATATCAGTTTTATTTGTAACTTGCTAATAATTTTGATTGGCTTTTTGCACATACAAAACAATTATAGAACAATACCAAGCAATATCCCCCTTTACCAACATTTACAAAGCAACACAGTGCTCAACTTAAAACTCTTCATTTTGCACATATACAATAATTATACACGAATACATAACAATTATCTACCTTTACTGATATATAAAAGAAAAACAATTTTGGATACATCATATATACAAACTTGTATATTTTTGTATATGTCATATACACAAACTTGTATATTTTTGTATATCGCATCATTCCAAACTTGTATAAGCTTTGGATATATCATCTTTCCAAAGCATATACAAGCTTGTATATATGGATGTTTTTTGCAGTGCATTGGCTTTTGGCAGGTCCCCGCCCATTTCGTGGTGTTTGGCCGTATATTCCGACCCTTCCGATGCCTGATGGGGTGTCGGTTTGGCAACGCCCCGTCTGATGTACGTGTCCACGTCGACCAGAATACACCTGTGCTGTGAGTAGAATGGTAGCTTCTCTCTTTAGCAAATTGAAATGTAATTTTAGAATCAAGGTGACTCTGAATGTCGTTCTAATTACTTCATTTTTAATCATTTGCAAGGTGGGACACAAGTACTGACGTTGTCCTCTTGATTTGGTTTTTTGGAATGAAGTATTGTACTGAATGAGGTCGATATAATGCCAAGTCTTTTTTGGTTCCATAAGCGGAAAGTCGGTGGTTCGATCCCCAGTTGCGTCATACAACACGACGCTAAGTGCAATAATTCTCTGCAGGACGTCACGCCAGGTGAACGTTCTAATCAGCCAGCTGACTTGGTAGTTTTTGAATTCTCGTTTCAAGGAAAGCATTCGGAACAACTTATCGGTATTCTGTATTTCGAAAACTTAAACGGCAGTTCCGAAGGGAGGCTCATAAAAGAGGCTTCACTTTGTGGACTCTACTTCAATGGCATCTATTCAGAAGTAAATACTATAGAACGGGCATGTTTGTTCTTCTGTGGGTTGGCTTTTGTTTCGACTGAAATTTCTGAAATTAATTATTAAAGACAACTTTCGTCTTTTCTAGGTTTACTGAATGTGGCGAGTATTTATATTTCGGCTCTGCATACAATGTGGTGAGCGTCTACATTTCGGTCCTGCATGCAATGTGGTGAGTGTCGACATTTCGGCACTGCATGCAATGTGGTGAGTGTCTACATTTCGGCTCTGCATGTAATGTGGTAAGCGTCTACATTTCGGCACTGCATCCAATGTGGTGAGTGTCTACATTTCGGCACTGCATGCAATGTCTTGAGTGTCGACATTTCGGCCCTGCATGTAATGTGGTGACTCTCGACATTTCGGCCCTGCATGCAATGTGGCGAGTGGCGACATTTCGGCTCTGCATGTAATGTGGTGAGTGTCGACATTTCGGCCCTGCATGCAATGTGGCGAGTGTCGACATTTCGGCCCTGCATGTAATGTGGTGAGTGTCGACATTTCGGCTCTGCATGCAATGTTGTGAGTGTCGACATTTTGGCCCTGCATGTAATGTGGTGAGTGTGGACATTTCGACCCTGCATGCAATGTGGCGAGTGGCGACATCTCGGCCCTGCATGCAATGTGGCGAGTGGCGACAGTTCGGCTCTGTATGCAATGTGGTGAGTGTCGACATTTTGGCCCTGCATGTAATGTGGTGAGTGTCGACATTTCGGCCCTGCATGCAGTGTGGCAAGGGTCTACGTGCCCTGTCGTACTCGTCTTTGTGGATAAAAACAATACAACAGGATGAAACCTGCCGGTTGTCAGAAATTATCTAGGGCACGAGAGGCCTATTTTAGAAGATGACAGATGGACAAAGTAAAAACCATTTGTGGAAAACTACCTCGCCATACATCATAACCAGTCACGTGGAAAACCAAGAAAAGGTATAAAGGGAGGCGTTTCGACATCCTTGCATCCCGCACTTCTCCCGCAACTGTGTCCGATCTGATCTGTAGTGAAATTGTAAGTACAGTTTTAACTTGTTCAACCATTAGTATATCTTCGTAAACCATTAATAAATCTTAGTTGAGCATTAGCAAATCTTAGTAAAGAATTAGTAAGTCTTGCTTTTTTATGCTAACCATACGCACTGACAGTGTTGTCAGTTGAACAGGACATGCTCAGCCGAACACGTGCTGCCCTCACTGTTAGTTGGCGATGATTAGAGAGTGAATGAGTGAGTTAGGTTTAACGCATGTCTTAGTGTGGGAGGAAAGTGATGCAGGTCTCAGATGTTTAGCACTTTGGTGAAACCGAAGAGCATGGGTATGGTGCTGACAAACCAAGAAACATAGTATTCAAAACCACAATCATAGGTTTCTGATGTGCCCAAGGGACTTCGCTCAGTACAGCGAATTGCGAATTATCTATAAGCCAATCTTGTCTGCATTGACAGTTGGCATCCTCCTTGGTCTAGTGGATGGAGCGTCCGGTGGGAGATCGGAAGGTCGGTAGTTCGATCCCTTGAGCGGGTCTTACCCATGAAAGATGGTACTTGTTAAAAGATGGTAGTTGTAGTTAACCTGCCTGGCCCTCGTCATTCAGGGGACAAAATGACAGTGGTCAACTCGGAGTCAGTATACTGTGACTGAGTTGGGTTGTCAATCTGAAAATGCAGTATGGTGTCTCAGTGGGCTAGAACTATAACACCAGCATTAGTCCGGATTATCACAAGCACACCACACCCTTCCACACACGCACACGTGCATGCACATCGCTTTATAAGTGCAATAAGCTTGAACGCGACGCCTCACTGAGGCTGACTTATATCATTATGGATTTCAATTTCTTTAATAAGTCTTCCAATGCAAAGTAACGAAATGTCGCATAGCAAGAAAAAAGAAGTCAATGCAATGATTCCAGATTGTAGATATCTATGAATTTGTCAGGTCCGTGTTTTGGAACTCGTGTCTGAGAGATGCGAATACGGGGATACTTCAAATAGTGGTGTCTGTGTTTACTGTTATAAGTGGCGGTGGGGTTGTCTTGTGGTTAAAGCGTACGCTCGTCACGCCGAAGGCCTGTGTTTGATTCCCCACATAGGTACAATATGTGAAGCCTATTTCTGGTGTCCTCCGAATTGATATTGCTGGAATATTTCTAAAAGCGGCGAAAAGCCATAGTCTCACTTACTGCCATAAACTAGCATGCAGGATGAAGGAATCTAATTATACGTGATTAAATGTAAACGATGTCTTAAATATGAGTCGTTCATGTTGTTTGTCACTTGTTTGTCAATTAAATCACGGCAATGAGAGGTAGTGGGGGTTTGATGGCAAGTCTTAACAAGATTTTATCAGCACATGAATGATATTGAAGAGTCTTTCTTACTTCACAGCTATTTGACCAGCAGACATGAAGTTCGCCGTATTTCTCCTTGTCTTGGCATGTGTTTGCGCTGTCGCCCTAAGCGCTCCTCGTAAAAGGAGGTGCAGACGCAAAGGGGAGAACGGCAACGGCAATGGCAATGGCAACGGTGAGAACGGCAATGGCAATGGCAACGGTGAGAACGGCAACGGCATTGGCAACGGTGAGAACGGCAACGGCAACGGCAATGGCACCGGTGAGAACGGCAATGGAGAATGTAACGAAGGGAACAATGGTGGCAAAGCTGATGACCCGAACGGTAACGGCAATGGCAACGACAACGGTAAAGACAACGGTAACGGCAATGGCAATGGCGACTCGTAACGGCAACGTTAACTGAGGTCGAACAAATGCTCTTCCAGCGCATCTTTCTAAATGTAAGTTATATGAATGTGACATACACTTTGAGTTAACTGTTTTTTGTAAATAAACGCGACGAACCTTTTCCATAAACTTGTTGAATTTATATTTCTTACCTTTGAAATGACATGCCGGCAAAGCAGCAATTTATATTTAAATAAGCATGGATGCATTGAACACATGCACAATTCACGCCAGAGGGTATATGGGCAACATTGATTCTCATCATGTCGGTTCGAAAGGCTAAATTGTACTGGTACATGCGATGGCACAAAGTGGTCAGAGCATGTACCATTATGCAATCAGTATCCATTATCCATTATCTCAACTCCTATACCTGTTGGGGATGTTGCAAACATAACGGACTGACCAGTCCTCAATGAAAATTGAGGCTAAAGAACTTTTTTTGTTAAAAACCCAAACATCTTGCAACAATGTTTTTTTTGTCAACAGTCTGAAGCATAATACAATTTTGAAACATATTATGGGATAATTCTCCCCTCCCCTTCCCCCTCCCCCATTAAATGGTTCATTAAATCATGTAATAAGCAAATATGCAGCCCTATCACGGTGGCTTGTGAGTAATCGAGTCTGTTTTACCGGTGGTCGATAGAATGAAGGCTTAACGGTGTACCAAGACGAGAATATCAGTTTTATATTGGGGTTAGAAATCTAACCATTATACCACCACACATCCAGTGTGGTCCTCAGATACGTTCTGATGATGTACGGGCGGATAACGTACTAAACGTATGCTTTTACTTTCAGGTGAAGCAGTTTCCCATCGAACGTAATCAAGAATGAATGTCCTGCAATCTTGAATAAATACTTTTCCCTATCTTTCAATCTTTGTCGACAATGCTTTTGTTGTTAATTATTGAGAGCTATGACGCTTAATAGATGTTTGACGATAGGAGTAAATTATTTAGATCGGGGCTCTCGACGAAAGTGAAAGTTTAAAACCGTAACACTCGTATTGAAATCAGGTGCCACGCGCAACACAGTATCCTATCAAAAAAACAATAGGAGAGGAAATGCCTTGGTTGGACATCATACTGGTCAGTTATCAGCTTTAGATGTCCAGTGGTATTATAACCGCAGGTCTAAATCAATACTATTGACATCATTTCTCCCCCTTTGTGGGGGGAACGGTTGGCCAGGTCGTCTAAGGTTTGTCAGTACCATACCAATACTCATGGGTTTCATCAAAGTGGTTATTTAAAACGTCTGAGGCCTGTATCACTTATACCGTTATATAAACGGCATACTGTTCAAAGCGGCGTTAAATCCATTCACTCACTTACGCAATTCAAACACAACCTGATACATTAAATACACGTCTATCTGTAATAGTAATCGGGCATGTCCACCTTGGACATTTGAGAATTCTTTCAATTGTTGGGGATTCATGGAAGAATAAGCCACAACAGGGCTTTCCCCCCACATTACACGGAAGCTGACAGGGCGTGATGTAACTGCATTAAGCCCAGCTCACTCACTCTCCACTTTTGTAGATTTAAGGTTCCCAGTATCAAATGTTGTCACACATGATAACTTTCAAAGGATTGTGGCCACTTGCAATCAGGTCAATCAGTTTATTTCGTAAAGAGGCATGCATATTTCATACCGTAAAGCGCATGATAGCAACAGATTATAATCTCATTTAGAAATGGATTTGTACATTCATGTTGTTGTGTAGTAGGATACAAATAAGTAAATTTAGCTAAAAAGAGTGTGAAATCTATTTTCAAGAGGGGGCAGATTTGCGTCCCTTGGACACACCAGAAACCTATGACTGTGGGTTCGAATCCCGGTTCGTCCAGATTATGTTTCTAAGTTTTTCATCACCATACCCGTGCTCGTGGCTTTCACCGAAGTGGTAAACGTCTGAGACCTGCATCACCTCGTGGCTTTCATCCCACAATAAGCTGATACGTCGTAGTACAACTGGAAGTCTGTTCAAAGCGGCGTTAAACTATACGCACTCACTCACTCACTTGTCATTTCCGTGTTCTCTTTTATTAACATCGTGGCAAACAATGCCGATCCGATAAATGTGAGCGCTATGACATGGTCGTCACATTTGTTATTGCCATAACCAAAGCTTTCCCTTTTCCATTGTCATTATAATATACTCATCTTTGTGCGTTGCCAGGATTCAAGGAACAAAAAGACCTTCTTTGATTGTTCTAAGAGTTAGGGTTAATCTTTTGCGACAAGAATTTGTTGGTACATTTGCTAGACCCTACAATCCATCTCTCCTGGTACGGTGTGTTATGGAGCTTTATATAGAGATCCAGGGCAAAAGTTGATGGTGATATTGTTTTGTTACATCAATCTTTACACTTATAAGCGCAACTGGATTAGTGAAGTGACAGTATGAGCGGGTCTGTTGAAGCGCCTTAAAAGGGCAGTTTATGATCATGTTTCTCACAATCCTTTCTTTAATCGTAAATAATCGCAGTGCCGTGTACGAATATGTCATTAACATATTCTTATGAGTCTATCAAAAGTGATTATACGTGAAGGTGAACGTATGCTGCCCCACCGGGAACACCCGTCACTAACACACGCAAAGGCATGTCAACTGTTCACCTAAAGCACACACGGCAATGGTGCACGCCAAAATATAGAATTGCACCAAACATCACAATAGCCACTCATGCATCATATTTGGAAATTTTCTCCACATGTTGGTCGTCAAACGTGTTGAAGGTCGTACTGAGGCATTGAATGTTGTAACCCTGATCAAACAACTTTTGAACAAGAACCGAATGACGCTGTATTCATAGAAAGAGCATTCTTGATTGCATGTCAAAAGTTGTGAAATGAAGACACCAAAGACAGGTGCTGCTGAAACAGTACTCGACATACGTATCATCCCTCGAGGAACATAAGGCCAGTAGAGCCCCTTGGCTCAACCCTTCACAGCGAATTGCGTCGTCTTTGACTGCATGGTCACTCGTGCCCTCTCATTATATCTCCCGTGGTTTATATTAATTATTATATTTATCATTATGTTACTTTTTAACTGTCATATACTAAAACCATACACAGGGTGTGTGTTAGTTTAGCTTGATAAATACCGCCTCCGTGGTCTAGTGGAGCGTCTGCCCGGAGAGCGAAAGGTCAGGGATTCGATCCCTGGCCGCGTGATACCGAAAGACGTTAAACGAAGGTACTTGTTGTTAACCTGCCTTTCGCTCTGCATTAAGGGGCTAAAATAAAGACTGCTCGACTCCGAGTCCGAGTATGCTGTGTATTCATGTTCAACTACGGCATGGTATCACAGTGTGCTAGCAATATAAACTCGGTATTACTCCGATATAGTACAGGCACACACACACCAACACACACACCAACACACACACCAAAACACACACCAAAACACACACACACACACACACACACACACACACACACACACACACACACACACACACACACACACACACACACACACACACACACACACACACACACAGAGGCATGCATGTCGCCATGAAATTGCAACGATATTAAAAAACAACAACGTGTAACCACATTTCTCCTCACCTAGCACGCACGCACACACACACACACACACACATGTAATATGGTACGATGTATGTGTTTTTTTTATATTTGTTCCAAATATATGTTATTGTCCAAGGTGACAAAGGGATGGGGCACAAGTGTCATACTGATTGCCACTTCCACGCTATATACAATTAAACATAATATCTCGCATCGGAAATGAACCCTGTACACTTGAAGTCATTGTGGAAACATAGTGCACAATACACACACACACACGCACGCATGCACGCACGCACGCACGCACGCACGCACGCAAGCACGCACGCACGCACGCACGCACACACACACACGCGCACACACACACACACACACACACATATATACATCTGACCGCGAGTACACAACCCCGTGGTTTGACACGCACTGGCTGCAGGGATTAACTTAACAATTAACAGGAAAAGCTATTCAAACCTGTATGTACAAAGCTATACAAATGTAGTTTACAAATTGAAGCCAGATAAATGTGCATGAAGCCAGTTTAAAATACGAATAGGTATTTAAAACATGGTCGACTCACCATGGTCGACTGGTATGTAAACAAGAAAGCATGGATGACTTCATTAATATTCAAAGCCTGGCTACTGATCTTGGATCGGCAAATGCGATTGGAGCAACGCCACGTGGTATTGCTGTTGGACAACGCCCCATCCCATGCTACTGTCGACATAACTAATGTGAAATGTCACTTTATTGCCACCAAACACCACATCGCACATTCAGCCACTAGACGCCGGGATCATAAAGAATTTCAAGCTTTATTATAAGAAACAGCAAATGAAATTGCACCTCGACAATGTTGATGCTGAAGAACCACAAGCCCTAGACGTCAAGCGAGCAGGGGACTTTGAGAAATGTGCCTTCAAAATGTCAGAAACAGAAAACACTGACAGACTATTTTAAGTAGATGAAGCAAGTTGTTAAGACAGTAGCACTTGCATTTACACGAGGAAACGTGTGTCGTTGATCATGTGATAAATTCAGTGAGTAATGTCTCTATTGTTATGTATAAATGGGAAAATTATTATTATTTTTGCACAGTCATTAATTATAAATTAAGGAATGAATGAATAAACAACATAACAATATTAATATTTCGTTTTTAATGATTTTATTACAAGGTACACACGGTTATTATCTATCGTGAAGACGTCCGATTTTCGATCACAAATCACTTAATTTCGTTAATCCGACATACTCGTTAATCCGACACAATCATGTGCAACCAACGATGTCGGATTAACGAGACTTGACTGTACAGTGCTTCACTCATCACAGAAATCATTTGTCTCTTTTCCTCATTTGCTTGTAAATATTGTGTTGGAATAAGGATGAATATTTTCCACTGTCTGGGAAATGTCGCCTGAAGATACTTGGATACTGAAATAGCATATATTGAGTACATGAAGGACCGCTACGTCATACATTACAAGAACTAATATCCTGAGAACTAAATCTAACAATATAGCTTATCTCATTCACAAACAATCATTGCACACTGTAGCCATTGAAGCTGGGGTCCCAGGCAGTGTATTGTGTAGTAATTCAAGACTGAGTTCAGATTGTTTCATAACCTAAGCCTTATCACCATCTCACTGTTTTTAAATAGTAGTTAGCACCTCCTCTCCCCAAAAATCACATACAAACGTCGATCGAATGGATAGCGCGTATGTTTGTGCTTAAGTCACTTGGACATTGTTTAGCTTCATAAACTGTTCATAAGAAACATGTCAGACAGCTTTGACATCATTGATGACTTAGTCTTATGAGATGATGTAAACATTAGGGGAAATGAGCTCAAGTAAATACAGAAACAGAGGGTCTAAAATTGCCACAGTGTTAGGCCCGAAAGTCTATTTAGGATTTAAATTGTGATTAAGGAGGTAGAGGGTAGAGAGAGAACAAGATAACAAATCTTAACAAAACCTACCTTCCAAACAACCTTGGCAGTCAACTCGCACAGGTAAAAATGGCTATTAATTCTCATGTGTGTCAGGTTGCCCTAACCTCGCCGTCACAGAAGAAGAAGAAAGAAAGACACAAAACAAATGCATTGTCTAAACTAGGCTACATATGCATTTCTTCAGCCGTTTCAATAATGCAGTGCGCTGTCACAGCATGCTGTGTAGGTCTGTACAGCACAACGTTTTTTATTAGTAATTGGTCGATCCTTCATAAATAACATTTTTGCCATTCATTTCACATATGCCTCGATAAAATTGAGGTAGGGGAAGGACTTCTGGTCAGTTAACAAGATATTCAGATATCCA